CGTGATCCACTGATGTGGGCTGTATAATACAAACAGGAACTTTAACTCGCCATGCATGACTATTTTAGTCCATTAAGATCTGTGCAAACTTAGGTTCTTACATGTCTGCTTATAAAAATGTTTAATTTTTTTTAATTTAAATTAATTACATTGAGGATTTAAAAATGGAATCATTATTAATAGAAAATCCTAGAAAATATTTTAACCCACCCTCACCCTCCCCCCCCAAAAAAACAAGAACTGTCTGAAGCAAGGATTTCAGGTCAAGAAGCTCAGAAGGTTACAGAGGGCTTAAGGTTTAAGGGTTTAACACTGTGTGGCTGTCAGTGGTCTGGTGCTGGACAGATCAAATGGTTAAACTTGGTGCCTCTCCATAACTTGTCTTTTGTCTCTTGAGCTTGCTAGTAACGCCTGAAGGATGAACACAAGGCCTCCTCCTCCTCCTCCTCTGTTTAAGGGCTAAGGTGACCTAGCTACTACCATAAAAAAAATACCAACCCTCCATTGAGAAAAAACAGATTCAGAGTCTTTAGGTGAATTCAGTGCACACATGTTCATAAAGTGTTTGTGTAAGTATATACACATTTGTGCAAGTGCCCAGAGTGAGCATCTAATCTGTTTATGTGTGTCCTTGGAAACCTGTCGGACAAGAAGGAGGAAGAGGAGAAAAAGGAGGTGAGCAGTGTGAAGGATGGATAAAAAATGTCATGTTTTATAGGTTTGGAGTGGGAGCGAGTTGCCCCAGCAACTTTGGGTCCTTCCCTCATTTATTTCAGCATTGGTGTCTGGGAGAGCTTGACTAGACTAAACATAGGGGTCCTGACAAAACTGTACTGTTGACTGGGCTACAGTAACACAGTTAACACAGTAGAGAATCATTACATAAGACAAGGAAAATATTTGTGTTTATTTTGTGTTTTCACTGAAACTTTTCACTGACACTGGTGTAAATGACGCATTTTTTAGTCTACCTATTTTTGGACTTTAAAAAGAAAACAAGTATAAAATAAGTATCTGTGGTATTCTGGACAACATTTGCAGCTGTTTTTTAGTGTGTCCTTGTTTTATGTTTCCCTGCAAGTCATCAGCAGGGTCTGCTTTTAGCTTGATTAATCAAACACTTACTATGATGCCAGCCGTCCAGGGGTTAAGCAAGAAGAGGGCACACACCAGAAAAGTACAGGCGAGCACCACACTGATGGAGAGCAGGAGCCAATGGCGCAAACTGACGTACTGTTCCCAGAACTGGAACGGGTAGCCGTTAGGGTAGGAGGGCAGGCCTTGAAGGCTGTAGTTGATGCAAATCGCCCGCACGCTTTCGATGGCCTCCACAAACTGTGGGGTCTCGCGGAGGCCGTTGAGGTAGAAGGGGAACTGTGCGTACTCGATGGGCTCGGCAGCCGGAACTGAGAGAAAAGACAAGGACAGGACAGGTGAGAAAAAAAAACCTGCAGCAACTTCATACAGTACATTAAAAAAAAAAACATTTGAGTTGAAGTCAGTCATCAGTGGCAACAGCAACATATGCAGACGACATCTGTCCACTCTGATCAAAAGCCATAAGAATTTCACATATACTTATATACATATATTTTAAAACACTGGCTGCTGCGAGCTCTCACACAGCCGAGCACGCTGCTTATCCAATCATATCCACCCCTGTGGGGGACTTCCTGACTTGTACCAAATCACAGGATGGAATCAAACAAACAAATCAACACAAATGTTCTCTTTTTACACCAAGAAGGGTCTGTTTGTATGTGTGTGGTAGGGAAAATGAGTGTGGAGTGGGGGGTCAGTGGGTTTTAATAAGGTATGTGTATGTGTGTGTGTGTGTGTGTGTGTGTGTGTGTGCGTGCGTGCGTAATGCTAGGGCCCCCTGGTAGCCAGGATTATAGTATTCACCACAGGCACCATTAGAGGAACCACAGTATGCCATGTATTGCATAGCTGTATAGCTGTAACTCTGCTTAACTAAACACTGCTTATTTGAAGCAACCATACAGTCTCACACAAGTGTCTAGTTGAGTCTTTTCCACCATATATTTTTCGGAACCTTATTATATTCAGACATACTGCTGAGGGATGTCTTGGGCATAGAGTCTGTACGGTCATGAAGCCACTCTGGAGGGTGTGGACGGATGTTGGCCTGTGAGGCAGCGTAGGCCACAGGGTCATTGCTGACCCAGGCTGTCAGGTAAATGTAGAAAGCTCCAGGGTTGATGATTCCATCTGCATCTACAAGCCTCTGTCGAGTTAACTAAAAATAGAAGAGAGAAGATGGATTAGTGGACTAAGGTAGGGAATAAGGTGGAATAAATATGACAGAACAGCGTCGGCAGGTTAGACTGTGTTTACACTGGGATATGAAAAGGACGAATTAACAAGCGGGAAAGGTTTGAAAATGATTAGGGTCCTACTTGGGAATCTGTAACACGAATATTATATAAATAAATGACACAAAAAGGTATTGTTTAAATGGATATGCTAAAAACATTGTACAGATGAGTAGATGAGACATGCATCAGTTACAGAGGGACCGCTTTGAATATACTGTAAGACTCCAATATTAGTTTCTCTCTCTCTCTTGTTTTCTCTTTCCAACCAAAGAAAAAATCAACAAGTCAAACACTGGTCTTCTTTCAAAGGAGTTACCATACTTCTCATCACCACTTCCCAGAATTATCATGCCACATTAAAATATTGGAAAATGTTAAATCAGCTCCTCTCTTCACATATAGTGGATACTGGCTGGCCAATCTCAGGCCCAGCATCTTGATCACTCTTAATACATTTCCTAATAGGGGACTGAGAGCACTATTTCTGGCAAAGCTGCAGCAGCGACTAAAATGTGCAACCAGTAAAAAAAAAAGCTGTGTATCACTGGTAGACAGGTAACATTTTTTATTAGGATTAAGGCAATTCTTTTGATAATGAGTTCAAGGGGGAGGAAATAACAGAGATGACATATAAATATCTTTATATATTTAATAAATATCACAAAAATGATTTCCATACCGGATCGGTCGAGGCCCAGGTTAACAACAACCGCCAACAGTGCTGTTGACCTACAGGGTACTGGTGGAAATTGGACTACTGTTAGTCGAAGACAGAGAAGAAGAGGAGGCCGTTTGTTTAGGAGAAAAAGAGATGGAGTAGGGTTGCTCCTAAAGGAAGACTATGCAAGAAATGTGGTGGAGGTGAAATGAGAGTCAGAAAGGTTGTGTGTGAAGGTAGAAATAGAAGGAGTGATGATGAATGTTGTCAGTGGTTATGTGCCACACAGGTGGGCTGTGAGTTGGAAGAAAAGGAGAAGTTCTGGAATGAGCTAGATTGGGTGATAGAGAGCAACCCCAGGGGAGAGAGAGTGGTGATTGGAGCAGACCTAAATGGTCATGTAGGGGAAGGGAACAGAGGAGATGAGGAAGTGATGGGCAGGTTTGGCGTTAGGGATAGAAACTTGGAAGGACAGGCAGTGGTAGATTTTGCGAGGAGAATGGAAATGGCTGTGGTAAACACCTATTTCCAAAAGAAAGAGGAACATAGGGTGACTTACAAGAGTGGAGGCAGGTCCACACAGATAGATTATATTCTGTGTAGAAGAGGTAATCTAAGGGAGATTAGAGACTGTACGGTGGTGGCAGGCGAGAGGGTAGCCAAACAACATCAGATGGGCTATCCACCC